ATGATGTGATGAGGTTGCGTTGGTCTACGACGTTCTTTCGCCACGCAGGCGACGTCAAAACACTCTGTTCCGGTTCCCTTGGACCATGCCCGCTCACTAGTGGCGACAGATCCGATGAATTCAGGTACATTAGGATCGTACGGAGAAGACTGTAATGACAGAGGTGGACGGCTTCCTCATCGAACGGTGTGGTTGTTGCCCTTCCCGATGACAGCGCCGCGAAACCCCTGCCAGATAAGAAGAAGGATCTCACAGACTCGTTTACCGGGTATATATGTTGAAGCCCGAGAGATTGCTGCGTCTTACCTTCATTTTCCGCCGGCCTCGCCTCTAGGAGGCCGCGCGTACGGGCGCAGAGCCATTGGTAGAACTGTGACGGCGTGTCAAACTGCTTCCCTGTCTTTTGCAATTCTTGCATCGACCAAGGCAGCCCGACATCCAATGCACTCTCCGAATCTCGGAAGAGGAGATAACGCGAACGTCCCACTACAACACTCGCGATCAGTAATTGCCTGTCTTAAGCGTGTTTTATGAATGTATGAGGACAACATAGAGCTATCAAGGCAAGATCCTAACCCAAGAGGAACTCTTAACCTGAATGTCGCTGAAAGGAGAAGAGATGACAACGAGAACTGCTTACGCCGCACTGCCATCATTAAGTCATTAAGTATCATGGGCTCCGGCGACAAGACGACCCATCGCATAATCGTCGAAGCGTCTGCCTTTTCTTTAGGTGAGAGGGTTGATAAGGTCAATTCATACAGCCCGTATAGATCTGTCGGAAGCTCTCGCAAGACCTTGTCCACGAGGTCCCGCGGTCGTCCGCTATCGATGACTCCGTTGAGGAAATCCGTCGCGAATTTTGCCCACAGAAAACTACCCCCGGCCGTCTCGGCGATGTTGTTCGTGGTTTCATTCCACTCCTCCCCGTCCGCTTTCAGGCGGGACTGTACCAACCGCACAATATCGTCGAGGTTGTGATTTTCGAGTTCTAGCTTGGTTGTATTCGACGGAGCACCGTCGCTAATCGGTCGACTTGCTAGACACACGCTAAAACTAGAGTTCCGTGCCATTTGACACAGGTAGAACAAGAGCTCTTGGATATAGGCATCGTCGCAGCTATCTTCAGCATCGACCAGGATAAACGTTCTCCTCGCCAACGTCCGGGGCTTGTTGACAATATACTCCTCGAGGAAGAACCGAGTTAAATCAGCATCGCTGATGCCGTCATGGCACAGACTGGAAAGTTTTGCCCGGAGATTCAGATCCTGCGCGAAGAGTTGGGAGAGAATACGACGTATCACCGTGGCACACCGGACGTTGCCCAGCCCAGGCTCCGACGCAGAGTCTCGGTCAAACCTCTGGGCTTCCGCGGTACAATATATGATCGACGTGGTGGCGGATTTCCATTGCTTTTCCATCTGGCTTTTCACGTGTCGCAGCTGGGTCGATTTCCCCGAGCCTAGCGCACCGGTCAGCCAGAGTATTTGTTCGTTGCTCCCTCCCTGGCGACGATACCAATCGCAGAATTGCCCTGTGCTGCATATTCCCTTGCATGTACCCAGGGGACACTGCGTGATAGACGACTGAGCGCCGTGGGTTCGATGATTATCAAGTCGCCGTAAGCAGTCTTGTTCTCATTAGCATGGATATAGGAGATGGATGGGGGGAGCATTTTTGCGTACTTAACTCCTCAGCGCTTAGCCCTTGACGCTATTATCTCTCATTAGCTACGCGCAGCAACGAAAACCTGATAGAATGATAATACCTTAGACTTTTCCATTTTTACGATATTTTGAAGGATTTTCGACAGCGATCTGAAGCCGGCATTATTTGCCAACCTGAAATGACACATCGTTCGATGCTCCGTAGGCAACTCCTCTGCGTCCTCTCTTTCATCGCCGAGCTTACTCGACTCAACACGGCTGTTCTACACAAACAGGTGAGCTCATGATCACCTGTATAGGAGGTAAGCTGAGACCAACGATGAACTTATCCGTGCCTCTCCGTCTTTCTTGGTAGGTTTTAACCGTAAAATTGAAGTAATGCCACAGCCGAACAAATGACTCTTGCGCTTCTACCCATCTGGGATTATTCACGCCGCATAGAGCAGACAGCACCGAGGTCTCCGTCTTGATGCTCAGGGACGCCTCAGCCATGGACACAACCGTGTCCGCCAGCGACACGTCCTCCACAGCGCGATGCGGACACCCGAAGAACACGACAGCGGCCGTAGAGCTAAGGATGGCCCGCTGACTTTCCGCGATGCTGAACTCAGCCTCGCGCAGCACCTACGCCCAGTATCAATACCTCCACATACGCTCTTGTAGTTATTATGGTTCCCAACTCACCTCTTTCACAATGACGCCCCCGAGAGAATGCGCAATGAAAATCAACGGCCGATCTTGTGAGCCGGTATCATGTCGCAGACCACCGAGTTCTCGAAGGAGATCATTCACGTGCGCGAAGAGGTCGGGCTGCGCAGAGATCGGCATGTTACCGCTGTGAAGCGTGTGATAACCCCATGTCATGATGCGTGCTTCAGGACACGCCGTGGGCAGTAAGTCTCGAGGCCAGAAGACGCGCGAGGATGCGGTCAACTCGACATGTCTTGGATTCTCCCGCGAGGTCGCATCCGTCGACCTCGTTTTCTTGAGGAATTGTTTTAGCGGTCCGTCACGCGTCGTCGCCGGCGGGACGGTCTTCGGTATAATAATATGTTTAAGCGCGTCTCGGCCATCGTACTGCCAGGTTCTCATCGGGTGTCCTCCGAACCCATGGACGAAGACCACACTGGAGACATGAATGAGTTCGGAAGTGTATCAAGATGAAAAGAAAGGCAAATGCTCACTCACTCGATCAGTGCGCTCTCGCGCTCTTCCGGCTCGTAGAGTACATGGAGGCCGACCGAGGGGATCCTGTCCGGACTCATCATGGATAATCCCCTTTCACCTGTAGATCATCTATCTATTCTCGAGGCAGGCACTATATCGCTCCACGTGCAATGTCACGGTAAATGTTGATGATCATTCTCAAGCGAACTCCCAAGACAGCTTATAGTCAAGCCAGCATCAGGCAGTGAGAGTTCGGCCTAACCATGGTACCGTGGATGGTGGGGGCAAGGTCGCATGGCATATAGATGCTGTGACGATAGATGCTGAATTAAGCGCAAACTCTCGCCCTTGGCCAACACACTCCCTTACTGTACGTGCAACCATCCTCGGCCCCCAGAGCGACAAGAAAAAAATGTCCGTGCCGTGCCACATATCATAGCCGGGCCGGCTGATTCTGCGGCCCACGCCCAGCGCAATCAGGATAAGCACCGAGAGACAGAACACAGACATTACTGACTAACGGGCCACATCGCTACACGACACGAAGCGGGATAAAATCCACACGTAGTACCAGGAAATTCTAGGCAGGGCAAAGCGAGCAAGCAAGCAATCTGCTTCTTCCCCTACATACTTATCGATTGGCATTGGCACATCGAGTCAAGGTTATTTGTCCATCCGTATCCCATGCTTCTTCTTGCGTGTCTCGGGTCTGCATTGTGCGCCTGACTCGAGACGCGTGCTTCCCTCGCTTTCTCTGTGCGCGCGCGCGCGCTTGTGTGTACTTAGACTAGCTACACTACATTGGTAGGTACTATTCTCTCAGCTTGGCTGAAGTGATGGAAGATATTTACGTTCGTTCGTTGTTGTTCAAAATTACCCTCGTCGCCACGTATCGTATCTCGAGAATGGTTGGTAACCAGGCAAGTGAGTACTTGTGTAAGTAGGTAGACGGCTAGATTGCTGGCTGGCTGGACCCACGATTAAAGAGGTATGTGCCACGAGCATCTATGTACCTACGACAGACGTAGACCATCCGTGCCCACTTCACCGCCATTGGGGCTACGTAAGGGGTCGGATCTCGAACCTATAGCGGTGGTGGCTATTGATTGCTCTACGATCGCGGAGGGAGGGATGGATGGATATTCATCCAGATTCTTGTCTCTAGGATTAGTTTGTGCTAATCAGTAATATATACGTAGATGACCGCTGGCGATTTATGTCGATCTTGATTGCGCACCATATATCTTTACTGATGAATCTTATTCCCAAATAGCCGCGCTCTGCAGAGATTCCAACGGCGTATGAAAACCGACTCTCGGACTTTTCTCCGCTGTACTGGGATCACCAATACCGAGCAGCTCCGACATATCTACCCCACAAACATACCCTCCCCCCCAACTGCGCAGTACAATACCTTAGGTACCTCTTACCTTAAATCTTTATAGCAGAGATCTTTTTTTATAAATCATCCGCATGGCTGTAGATAGATGTGCATCCAGTTGTCGCTGCGCCAGCGCTGTGCACAGGCGTTTGCGCACCTTACTCTACATACACTAAGTACGTAGGTTACCTACAGGCTAGTGCACAAGAGCAGAAACCCTGGTCTTCACCAATAGATTTCCTCGGCAGACCATGATATAAAACAGCTTAATGTACTTTCCTGCTCTGTCTTATAGTCTACTAGGTAGATAGTAGTACCTGATGTCATCTGTCCTTATATCAAACTTCGTGCATTCGTTAAGCTGGTGCAATTCTCGCCTCACATAACTTGCTCACCTTGTATCTGCTTAGGCTTCGAATGCGTCCACTTATTGTGCACATTCGCTAACGTCATTCTGTTGGGGGTAGTATGCCTACTTTCATATATCTTCTCTCACTTGACTTGGTGTTGCGCTTCGAACCCGTACTTTGTTCGAGGGAACATGCTCGTCCCTGCGCAATAGTAGGATGCATGCACGCGTTCGCTCGATCGATAGATTCCAGTTTTAGTTTTTTAGAGAAATTCATGTCGGGAATTTTTAGGTAGATAATTATAGGCACAATGAGGAGAGCTGGGGAATCTGGTTGAATTTAGAGGACTTATCTATCTATCCTGCATCTGTTGCAGGTAATGAGTATATGAGGGGAATTAGGAACCCTGCAACTCAACAGTTGATTGGTCACGCATCTCGATTGGTCTAGTGGTAAGGATACCTGCTTGTCAACAGGGGTTGTTCAAACTCTGCTTGAGTGGGGCAACGCCAACCTCGCCGGAGGTTAGTGCGCAGGTGGCCGGGGTTCGATTCCCCGATCGAGAGTAAATTTTATTTTTTTAGTTTTTCTTGACCAGTTCGACCTAAATGATCTACCTACTACTACCTACTACCTATTTCTCTTCCTCTTTATATATTTTATAGAATTGCTAAAACTAACATGCATGCATGCATATACTTCATTCATTCATTTAACATATATGAATAAGCAAGTAATTTAATTAAGCTTGGCAACCGGCGATAAAATACGAAAAGTATGATTTTTCATATCTCCTACTTCTGGGATTCAATGTCAATCACGCCTTATACAATATAAGTGGCTCATATAAAAGCCCACCACCCACCATCGAATGCTTGCAGTACGTACATCGATCACCTCGGAGGATCTGACATTAGACATAGTGTCTGTGAGTCATTCCATCTTTATTTAGACTCACCAGACTATAGCTGTCTCAAGGGAATCCGACCCAGGCACTCTGTACGGCTTGAATCTGCAGCCACGAAGTCAGTATTTATAGGGGTAAATGAAGAAAAGGGGGCGAGAAGAGCAGGGTGTGCAAGTCAAGCGAATTTCTGAGCCGTACCCAAGAAGTGTTGAGCGCCTTCAGATCAGCCAGACCCAGGTTAGAGGCATCACGAGATACCTCATTTTTCAGGAGCTGAATGGCGCGCTGCACGCCGTCGACGCCAAAGACGTTGGCGAACATGAAGGGGCGGCCGAGGCCTACAGCGCGGACGCCGAAAGCCAGGAGCTTGAGAATATCAGATCCGTAACGAACACCGCCGTCGGCGTAGACCTCAATTTGCTGAAATATCTCTGGCGCCTGCAGGTAGATCTCGTGGGCCACCTCGAGAGGCGAAGGGCTCGTCTCGAGTTGGCGGCCACCATGATTGGAGAGGTAGATGGCTGGCGCACCGTTCGCAACGGCATCCCTGGCCTCTTGGACGTTGGTGATACCCTTGAGCACGATCGGGAGCTTTGTCATATTCCGAAGGGTCTTGTAGTAGTCCCACTGTAGTGGTATATGAGGTCAGCGAAACACTTTGGGAACTTGAATTCGCTATGTCCTTACAGTTACATTCCGGTAACCGCGATTCTCGCTGTTTGACTGTAGTTAGTAGATGGTCATGAGGGAAGATCGGTAAAGACGTGCGTGATATCAAAACCATAGCGAATACCCCTTATCCTTGAGCCGTACGACTGCGTGTCGACAGTCAACATGATGCCTTGGGCGCCCACCTTGGCGATCTCGTCGAGATTGGCCTGATCTTCTTCGAGTGTCGGAGCGCGATAGAACTGAAAAAGGACATTAGTGTGATCTAACAGAGGGAATGTAGCCATTTGCTCACCTGCTGAAAAAGAACCTGACCAGGTACCTTGAGCGCGTGAACTTCCTCGATAGAGAGTGAGGCGAATTGAGATCTCTGCACGTCCAGTCAGTAGAAGCTTGGTTCGGCACGTAAAAGGTAAGGATCTTACAGCGTATAGGATGCCCTCTCGGCCAGCCGCCTCGACAAGCCCAGCCTCGGCTGTCGGATGGCCATAAGCTCCACGAGACGCTGGTGCAATGAAGAAAGGCAGACTGAAGTTGTAGCCCAGAATAGAAGTACTAAACCCAAGTCAGCTTGCCACAAAACTATCAGGTAACCTGAGAATTCGTACGGTAATGTAGAGTTCAACGGAGTGACATCCTGCATCTGCCTCGGAACGAAGCGGTAATTCGCAAAGACCTCCATGTTGTTGCGGTATGAACCTTCACCTCCAGCAGCCTGGCGATCTGGACGAGTGTTAGTCGGCACATATAAGATAGAGACAGGCCGGACATCATTGCAGACATACAGTAGGTGTAGTTGAGGGCCGGCAGGTAGTTGCGGGCAGCCCAGTCGAAGTCGTGTAGACAGACCATGTCTATAAGGTCGGGTAAAGCACCGGCGGCGAGACCCCCGACGATGCGGTCAAGGCCCGTGTCAGGTTCCTCGAGAAATGGACGTGCCGCATGAGCGGTTACCACCAGCGCTGAGATGATCCCTAATGTGTGCATCTTTAGTCTCGCGTCGTCGAGTCACCTGTCTTGAGTGAGCAAGCAGAACAACGATGGTATAAAGGGGGCTTTCTTATACTTACACAATAATCCCAATTATGCCATCGGTAGCCATTGTCTTCCTATCTTCGGACATACTTTTCCATGACGACGGTCTCCATGTCGTCGCATATGCCGGCACTATCTCCAAGACAAGCTTTCCAATGCCCGGCGCTGAGTTCCTGTTGCAGACTAGTAACTATGAGCCCCAACTGAGATCTCCACCGCTTCCGCAACGACATTGCTATCCGAATTTGCACAGCAGCAGAACTCCATGTGAGTCCCCTCATCTGTGGTACCTACCTAAAATGTACATTTACGTCCATCCCCAATGGCGCCCCGGAAATAACTATATGTAAGAAAAATGCCTCCCGCTATCACAGAGTAGCATTGCCTTATCTACATGATGAGGATTGCCCAGTTGTCGTCGCCAGACGCCGTCACGGGGCAGTATTGCGACAGCTCTAACAGTCCATAACTCCATCTTTCAATGCCGCAAGATCTGCAACGCTGCAGGTCATGTGGTTGATATCGAGTCTGCGTGCGCTCGAGTTTATCACGATTTGGAATCCTTCAGTGAGGTAAGTTTTGTGGTTGGATTATGCCCTATTAGCATCAATGCGCAGGAAACGTCTTTGTATCGAGTTCGGGATATTCCTTTTCCTCGCCGCTAGAATTAAACTGAAACCTACTTTGACCATTTTAAGATTGAGGATGAGAAGCTTAGAAGCACCACTACTTTGGTTGATAATAACCTTGTTATATGATGTTGGTAGATCTTTAAGATGTTGTGCATTGCGCGCCGAATGATGCGAATTATAGGTCTCAGTCACATTAACAAATATATTGGACAAGGCTCTTCGCTCCTCGCTAATAGTGAATCCAAAGTCTATTCTATTTATGAACCTCGGAGGTTAAATCCATCAATAGCACGTATATATAGTTCTAAAAAACTAAGAGAGTCCCAGAAGACTGCTGATTGATTGTATAGATCTATTCCCCCTTCGTAAATTTTAAGGTGTATTGCAGCAAGAGCACCTACATGTAGTTTCATTCCTGAACGCTCCAATTGTATTACGGCCAGTTGCATAGGTATACTCATGTTAGCGTTATACAATACTAACTACCAGGAGTTTATTGATCGATTAGAAATTAACACACATTATCGATGCCAAGGTAAGTCTGGCCATTGAAAAAGCTGTCCGACTCAGCTTTCGTCCAGCTTGACTCATGCAATCTTATCAGCCGTCATAACCTCGGAAAATTGGGGTTGTTACCTATGTCTGTGATGAATGGGGATTGAAAATGTGGCGTTCAGAAAGTACTGGACTACTCCCGAGACTTCATGCATATATCAAGGGGCGAAGCCTTGGCATAGACCTTCCTCGTAGGGTGTCATGGGAGGCCGGTCTCTAGAGTGAAGTCAAGTTACCGAGAGCAAGCAATCAAGTGGTAATATAGGCCAAGGGCTCAATCTCATTGATTCCTCCGAGGAGAGGAGACGAAGCTCTTCATATAGAAATAATACTAGTTATTCCCAGTTTCGGGGCTCCTTCTAGTCCCCTGCGACCCTTATACCTGACATAGGGGTACTAACATTTAGGTAACATTATGCTATTAGCTACCTAGCTCAATATCACGTTTCTTGTTGGAACATTCTAAAATATACTATTATAATATTAATATAACAAGGGCTGGTTTCAGGGCTTGGAATTGATTCTATTCAGAATACAATAATCTGTTATAGTAGCCTAAGACCTTGACCGTTTGGATTTTCTTCCGTTTAGGTGGCTCGGCTACAAATCTATATACAACTCTGGGCAATATGGTAAACCTCCGACTTCGGCGCTTATGTCTTAGTTAAGAAAAGGCTGAATAGCCTCATGTAAGACATCAGAAAGAATATCAATAATAGACGGGAAGACGCGTTGTAGCGCGTGTAACGCCTCCAGAGGGTCTGAGACTTGCTGTCTCGTATTCGCTATGTGTGACAATTAATGAGTAGATTGGTTTGGGGGCGACGGTTCTACACATGCTGACCCGAGCTATAATATAAGCATAATATGTTCTCCGACCAATGAGGTCGGGATATATTGAGGAGTGGGCATTATGGTGTAGGTGTGCGACGTCTGTGTTCCAATACTGACTGTTGCCTGAGTGGCTGCTTCCCTTCTATTTTAGCGTAGGCTGTGCGTGGAATCACGGCTTAGCTAATATGAGAAGTGCTTATGGCGGCTCACTTGTATGACCCAGCAGGCAACGCAGGACCTACGTAAAATCATATAAATAATCAGGCGGAAGGGCCCACACTATCCTATTTTTCAGCCTTTTTAACACATCAATCATGATTTGTATTCCTACTTATTATCCGGAAAAACACAGCTATGCAAGCAGCAAATACACTACAACAAACCCAGCGGGCAATAGCTCATCGAACCCACACCACCACAAAACTCCTATGTAAGGACGATATAACATATGAGCTCTTTAGATCATTGATGTCATCTGATTACTTATAATTTGACCCAGACTTACCATGTCTCGATATTCCGGTACAAGTAGTGGCTCGGAAAATTGGGCTTCCCAAACAACACAGTCAAGAAGAATGGGATAGGATGAAGCCAACTATTCATAAACTCTATATCGACGAACAACTACCACTCGAATCTGTGATGTGTATAATGGCAGAACAATACGGTTTCGCCGCTACGTAAGTTTAATCCTTTACAGGCGTTCCTGAATGTACAAGAAGACACAGATTTTTCCTAACTTGCTCACACTGTATCTTGATCTCTGGGCCGAAATTTGTTGTTAACCAGCTCTTACAGTAATAAGATGTATAAAATTCGCTTCACTCGGTGGGGATGGCGGAAAAATCGCACTCGAGACGAGCAACATCCAGATCCTTGCCCAAGTCAAAGGATGGAAGGACCAGCAACGGCTTATCGAATTGAAAGCCTAAGG